AAAGGAAAGACCCTGAAACTTTGACAGTAATCTATTCTTGAGGTTCGTGTCACTCTGTGGGGGTTCACAGCCAATGTTCCTCCTCCCTAATGTTCACCAACCAAAAGTCTAATAAAATAGGTTCTGAATTCTGGAGACCTCCCTACTTGAGAAGAAATGTGCCTACCTGATGTCACCACCAATGCATTTAATAGTACCTTGGCATTGTTACTGTAATGACTTGACTATATGTGGTTTGAGGTAAGCTAAATCTCTGTTACTTGGCCATACTGACATTTGCTTCTGAAGTTAATCTCATATTGTGTTCTGAATACGTGTAGCTAAAATTCCTTCTGGGAGGTGTAAATGGCGCCCCTTCTCCCTTGCTCCTTACGACAGAGGGAGTCTTCTTTCTGCCAATCTATAGCCTGGGAATCCATTGGCTTGTTGGGCTTACCTATAGAGCAATGGGAAAGGATTGACTTATAGGAATATGGCTGCACCTCTTGCCACATTGGGAAGTCTTCACTCAAGCATGGATGGTGACTTTTCCACATCCTCACAAAATGTCAAGGGATCCTCTCCCATGGCTTCCTTGGTTTACATAGCCTAAGGCCCTCACTTTGATGCAACTAGAGCCAACTGGTTGATTGGGAAGTGTGGCTGATTTGCCGTGCACATCCTCCCCTACAGAGCATAATACTCAAGATACCTAGCATCCACCATATGAAGATGGCATCTGTCCATAGTTGGTAGGAGGACAGCCCTGTGCAACAATATTTTCATGTGTGTGAACACTTGGTCCCAGCCTTGTGACATTGTTTTCCAATATTGTGGAATCTTTAGGAAATGGAGTCTTGATAGAGGACATGGGTCCCTGGGGAATGGCTTTGAAGTTTTATACAGACCCTTAATTCCTGTTTGTGATCTGATCCTGCTGAGAGATGCAGTGTGAACACCTGGATTCTTCTACTCTCACCACATCTTCCCTACAGTGATGGACTGCATCCCCTGAAAAGGTAAGCCAGAATAAACCCTTCTTTTCTTGTAACACTTCATCCCAGGTATTTTGCTATAGTTGTGAGAAGAGTTACTAAAGAAGCTCATATTTCCTTTGAGTTTAGAGGTTTTTTTTTGTTGATGATGTCATATTCCCTTTGAATTTAGGTTTTTTGTTGATGGTGGTGGTGTGTTTTTTGTTTGTTTCATTATTTATGAATGTTTTTCCTTCATGTATATATGTTCACCCATATGTGCAATGCCCAGGGTGTCCAGAAGACGGTGTCAGATCCCATGGAAATGTCATTATCCACAATTGTTACCAGCCATTTGGGGGCTGGGAACCAAATGCAGGTCGTCTGCAAGAGCAATATGTCTTCTTAAATACTGAGTCATCTCTCTACCTGTGAAGTATAATTTTTTTTGTCGGTCTGTTTGAGACAGGGTCTCCCTGTAGCCCCAGCTGTCCTGGAACTCACTATATAGACCAAGCTGGCCTCTATCTCACAGAGCCCTTCTTCTTTCAATAGTGTGCTCAGCTATTCTGCATTGCCTCCTCACATGAATATTGGTTATTTCTTTAGGGGACTTAGCCCTTCTTTGGTTTGCTTGATTGTCCATTGGTTTAGGATGAGCTGGTTATTGAATCCTGTCCTAGTTGCTTTCTATCACCGTGATAAAAACACTGACTAGAACCAACAAGGGGAGGAAATGCTTTATTTGGCTTGCAGCACAGTCCATCATCAAAGAAAGTCAAGGCAGGAACTCAAGGCATGATCCTGGAGGCAGAAGCTGATGGAGAGACCATGGAGAAACAGTGGTTACTGTCTTTCTCCCTGGCCTGTAATCTCAGACTGCTTTCTTATACATCACAGGACCACTTTCCCAGGAGTGGCATGGCCCACAGTGGGCTGGGCCCTCCCACATCACACAACAATGAAGAAAATGCCCCACAGACATGGCCACAGGCCAGTTCAATAGAGGAAATTCTTCAACTGCTGTCCCCTCCCCCCAGCTGTGTCAAGTTCCCAAATAAAGATGTCCAGCACACATTCAAAGACACTTTGAATATCAATTTTGATTCTGGTCCTTGTTTGTTTTCTCAGTATTCATCTTGTTAATTATCTGCTCTGTACCATACCTCCAATATGTGTTAGGTCAAACTGGGCTGCAAGATTCAGTCACTATTGACCAGCAATGTGACAATCACAACCTGGTGGGCAGCATTCCAGGAAACAGAAATGAAACCATCCCAGTTTCTCAGTAACCAGTTGACCTTTGCTTTAACAATGCACCCTGATCATAACAGGAATTTCCCATCCCAGCCAAGTGAAAAACAGAACACCTAACTGACCCACCCTTACCAAGGCACCTGCTACTGACACTTCTGCTATAGTTCCACCACCCCCTATCGACAAAAGGGAAAAAAATCCTATAAAATCTAGCCTCTGTGACAAGAAACTGCTGCTCCCTTTCTCCTGTGGGAGCAGTCCGGCACCTCGTACATTCCAACAAATTTCTTCCTTTTTCCCTCAGAGTAGTCTCAGTGCTCCTGGTCTTTTCACAAACCTAACAGATGGTGCTAAAACCCAGAAGGAGGCACCTCAGGCCCTCCTTCCTTGAACTGACCACTCATCCTCTGTCCAGACCTTCTGAGGGCCTCAGACAACCCACCTGCTCCTGGCGCACCAGTTTGGCCTTGCCTTGGACGTCCTACTTCCTCCTTCTTCCTTTGCCCTTCCTTCTTGCTTCAGTAAGTGTCCACACTCGGGTTGGCCCAGTCTCCGGCGTTGCTCTCTCTCTAAAGCGGTGCCAGTATGCTAGGCTCTGTTCACCCCAACCCCTGAGAGTGGGTGCTCCCTGGCCTTGACAAGGTACACCTTCTCGATACCGTGGGACACGTTGAATCTCCGGTGTCCGGAGCCTTGGGGACACACTGTGCTGCACGCCCTTGGTACTGGGACACTTTCACCCTTTCATGCCTTTCTTCCTCCTGCAGCTTGCCTTTTCTCCTTTCCCTGTCGTCTCTCCACTGTTCCCCATCCCTCCTCTGGCCTGTCTCCTTAAGAATCTCCAACCTCTGGGACTCCAAGGCGACGTTAATCTTTGCCATTTTTACTGCAACATGGCTTGCCGCAGTATAATTGCTGACTCTGACCATTTCTGCCATCGCATGGGAAAGTAGTCTGAGGTCCCCTATATCCACGCTTTCTTTGCCCTCAGCTCTTTTCTCTCCCTCTGTGCTGCTTACCACACTCACCAGATTGTGCTCAAACTCACTCCCTGCTTTCCCTCTCTGCTCTTGACTCTCAAGCCATTGGCTGATTGGACCTGCCTGCTCCCCAGACCCTCCACCTCTGGCTCAGTTCCACACTCCCACTGCCCTGCCTGCTCCTTCCCCTCCTTCTTCCCCACTCCCCTCCCCCCAGTGCACTCACTTACTGGAAGACCTGCACTCTGTTGGATTTTGTGCTTTGTGTGAGGTGTGAGGTGTTCGGGGTTGGAGGGATTTGTGTCCAGATCCCTTTTACTGTGCTTGATCTCTCCCAGCTTGAACAGCACTTAGGTTCCTTCGCCACCAATCCACTTACTTAGACTAAAGAATTTCACCACCTTCCCCAAACCTGACATGCACTATTTTAGCCCCTGATGAGTGATAACATGTCTGGGTTCCTGCTCAGGCCCATGCTGACCAGGTTCATGTTATAGACCCTACCTACCCTGTGGGGATGGCAGTCCCTAGAGAGGACCCCAACTGGGTATATCAAGGCCCCCTCCACTGCTGGCCCACTCCCTTTCCCTTTGGAGAATAGCAAGGGACTGGATGGCTGGCTGCCTCCTTGTAGGGTTCCTGCAGGTTGCTCACAACGTACTTAATTTTGACAAACTGCAGCATTACCCAGGGCTCCAGTGAAAACTCGGCAAAGTTTCTGGGATGCTTGACTAAGACACTCCTTCAGCAGATATGCTTAGATTCTGACTCTTCAGGAGGCATTTTGGTTCTAAAGTTATGCTTAGATTCTGACTCTTCAGGAGGCATTCTGGTTCTCAACTCCCACTTCATAGCCCAGTTGATCCCATATAGTTTTAAAAAGCTCAAACAACTTGAAAAGGGCCCACTCCACCCCCCAGGCCTGCTGAGGGTGGCATTAGAAGTTTTTTATGGCCAAGAGGACCAGGGACTGATCTTGACCAATAGATCAACTTGTGATCACCCAAAGTGCCACTTACTGGCTGCTACCCAGAACCAGTGGTGATATACAAATGTCCTTAAGTGCAGTTTCAGGGTATTTGATGCCCTCTCCTGGCCTCTGTAGGCATTGCATGCACATGGGACACATACATGTGGGCAAAGCACTAATACACATTAAATAAAAAGAAATTTAAAAATTAAATTAAGAGCACATTACACCAAACCTTGGTGAAGTACAACTCTATATTTTTGGAAAGATGCTTAATTATATGTCTGCACAGAAATAAGCATTCCTAAATTACTAATCTGTTCTTAGTATGATTTACAGAAAAAAAAATTTACAACTTTTTGGATTGGAGGTAATGGCCTCTATGCAGTATTAATAACTACTTCCAGGACTATCACATTTCAGGAGATACTCTCCTAAATTTGTACTTCTCATCACGCATGTGTACTAACTTCTAAGGACACATCTACATGGACTACAAAGAAAATGGTTAACATCTTCAACTGTGTCACAAACTGCTACATAATTACACTCATTTTGTTTTTAGGAAAGCCACAAATGTCCATACATTCATCAAAATCATTGGCTTTGTTGTAACTGTTTACCCATACTTCCTACCTGACCTGAACCTTAGTTTCACATTCAGTTCCTTGAATAAGCAGCAAAACTCTCCATAAAAATAAGATAAAAATTAAACATGTGAGGCTCAACGTTATGTAACATATGTTTAATCCCAGTGCTTTGGAGGCAGAGACAGGCGGCTATTTGGAACTTGAGGCCATCCTTGTCTACACAGTGAGTTCCAAGTCAGCTGGGACTAGAGGGAGACCGTGTCTCCGAAAAATAAATTTTTGAAAAAGGGATCTGCGTCTGATTTTTTTCTTCCCTATATCTCAATATAGCATTTACAAATGATGTATATCTCTGCACCTATATTTCAAGTAATCAAGAACACTGTATGGCTCAAAGAGATAAAGGCAGCAGATAAGGAATACGGACATTGATAATCTTACATGTATTCAAATTTAGGTTTTGTGTTTTGTATGCACATGCCAAGGTGCACTTGTGGAGGTCCAAGGACAATGTGCAGAAGTTGATGCACTTGGTCTACCATGTGGGTTCTGGAGATACAGCTCAAATTTTCTAGGTTGGATGCAAAGATCTCCATTAGGTGAGTCACCTGATTGGCCTGAATCAGACACTTGAATCACGGAAGTTTCACATTCTTTAAATTGACTAAATGTTTTCTCTGTGTCTCCCATTATTCGTACTCCACACAACATTTCACTTGATGTTTTGCATATTTGAAGTAAGTTATCATTCTGAAGTATTTTTTTGGCAGTTTGATTTTATAGCTGCTGTCTTAGGGATAGCCAGTTTTTTTCTGGGAGATCTTGGTCTTTAGTATATGAATTCTTTTCATTCAAATGGTGGATAATAATTTGATGTGTGTTATTAGCTTGATATTTTGTCAGATTTTACTTTGAGGAAGTAATGGAATGTCACATTACAAAGAAAATCAGATAACAACTCACTATCATTTTGAGCTCCTTCCTAACAGAATGTCCACTTTCAGTGTACCAAATAGTATTTCTATTTAGTAGAAAGTAACTCACACTTGTCAGGTTCCAAGAATTTATTGGTTTTGTAGGCATTTTTTTCTCAGAATTATCTTTTTGATGAGTCTATCATCAGTGCTACTGCTCTTGGACTCAGAATTTTTTGTGTAAGATTCATAAAGAATAAAACCAAATCTTTGATATTCTCTAACCACAGGAAATGGAGTTAACCTAACTTTACAGTTGTTACAAATCTCAGTTTATCATATGGCTTTTTAGAGTGTTTGTTGTATTTTATCATTTTTAATATAACCATAGATATCCAGTTGCTTGTACTTATAGTATTTTTGTAGGAATAAGTTTATTTGGTTTGGGATCTACATTGAATTTAAAAGAGGTCCTTTCAGTGTGGAGTTCCTTTTGGGAGAATTAGAATAAGTTATTCTCAATGTAAGAACTTGCTTTTTCTTTCAAAACTGTACTGATTGATGTCAGAATTCTTATAAATGAAGTGAAAAAGAAAAATGAATCTTCTGAAAACATTTTATTAAATTAAAAAAAATATTTTATTAATTTTTATTTTATGTGTATGTGTGTATTGCCTACACCTAGGTAAGTGCACCCATGTCGTGCAATGCCTGCGGCAGGCAGAAGAGGTTGTCTGATTCCCCTGGAACTGGAGTTACGGACAGTTGTTAGCTGCCATGTGGGTGCTGGGATTTGAACCTGGGTCTTCTGCAAGAACACTGTTCTTAACCACTGAGCCATCTCTCCAGCCCCTTGATCTATTTCTTTATGAACAAATTTTGTATGCTCATAACTGTTATATCCAT